CACTCGATCCCCTCATCCAGATCATTGATAAAGATATTAAGGGCAGCCAGAAAATATCTCCTAATGTTCCAGATACCATACTAAGACTGTAATACGCAGTTCCTGTGCAACTTTCTCTTTCAGTTTCAGTTTTATATACTAAATAGAGCAGAACAGAGAGAGTACTGTGAAGTTTGCCTTCCATGCCTTCCTAGAAGAGGAGAAAAGGTGGGAGGGGGACAGGGAAGGGAGTAAATGAAAGGAAAAGAAAGAAGATTGTGATTGTGAGGACAGAAAGAATGAACTGGATAGCTGTAGAATTAAGCTGAGCTGAAGAAGGTGAATGAGACAGTGGGAGAAAATTCAAGGCAAACATCCAAACAGCAGAGGTCAAAACAAATGCCATAGCAAAAAAAAAAATCCAATTGCCCACAGATCTTTTTGGCAGTTAATGCCACAATTACGGTGTAATTTGTGATTATTTTTGTATTAGTTTTGAATTTGCCATATTTTTATTTTTCTTGAAGGCTTCCATAGATGTGTTCAGTGATGGAGAACAGTGTTCCTATTCTCCTGTTATTCACTAATGCATATTCTTTTCTATCATACTCCCTTTTATATGATTGCCTTTTTAAGGTTAAGGAAAAGCCTAATCTATGTTTCAGATTTTTTTCCATGATCTATGACTTCCTCTTCTACTGAACTCACCCTTTCCTCCAACTCTGCAAGTTCTTCATGAGATGAGACAACTGCTATTGCATTGTGTAGTCTTGAAGGAGGAGGTCACAGTTTCATCTTTTTGACTATTTATCAAAGACCTTTTGAAAATTTGAAGAGATTGCTAGCCAGTTCTTCTTTATCTCCTGTTTTTCTGAAGTAATAAAAAAACCCAAAGTGTTAATGAAATGTAATTATTTGTAGAAATTGTTCCATATGATGTTCTATGTGTGTTTATCACTAATTATACTTGAATTTTCAACCAGTCATTTTTTGATCTATAATTTCTCTGTTCATTCTTCTGCCTCTGTATGTAAAAGGCATTTTTAAGGAGATCACACTTAAGACTTGCTGTGGGATGCACAGAAAATAAATCAGGCAAATGTAGAAAGAAGCTGAGATGAGAATATTTAGAGAGACTAGATTTTTTTTGTAGTTCAGTGTTTTTCAGAATACTTAAGTACATACATATTGCCTTTGGGCAACTGACTGGCCTTTAATACTTGAATTCTTCTATCATTGCTACTATTGACACTTGTGTCTGTGAATTAATCTCTATTCAGGAAAAAAAAAAGCACAGATAGTCCCCCCATAATTAAAACAAACAACAATAATACCTCCCCCTCAACAAAAAAAAATCAAACAAAAAACGCACCCAAAACACCCAACACTTGAAGGAATTAATTTTAATTTCTCTGCAATATACTTATCTACCATAATTGTTTCTTCTGCTAGACCCACAGCATATTTTTCAGATTTTCTACTTCTAATACTTGCATAATTTTTGTTCTGCTGCTTTTATATTATTTCTTCAGAATTTTTTTCACATTTCTTGTTCTGGTAACTGCCCATTTATGCTCACTTCATTAGGATTATAATTTAAATTCTTGAAGGATTTCTGGTGAACATAGCGTCTCCAATTTTGTAGACATGAGTTAACTACTAGTCTTCTGTTTTCTCTTATTTTTTGAGCTAATGTACCTTTTGCACTTGTATATAGACAGCAGTATTCATGACAATTATTTTTCACCTAATTTTGAAACACTGATTATGCACTTCAGCTGTTAGACTTCTTTGTTTGGCGTTTTTTTTCTCCCCTTCTTGATATAATAGGAGACACTGATTTTCAGTTCTGAAGACAAATTTTACCATGAGTCTGGATGTTGTCATGATACAGTCTCCCACTGCTGGGTCATCTTAGTTAAATGCAATCTGTATAACTTTGCAAATAAGAAATATAGCATTAATCAGTTTACAATGGAGCTGTCATAATGAACATGTGTCATTATGAAGTATTACTAGTACAGATCAAGGTAGTGCAAGTACAGATCTAGATTGTATCTCTTTGATTAAAAAAGAAAAAAAAAACCAAACCCACACCAAAAATAAGTTCCTATAAAACAAACAGCTGTTTGTTAAACAAAATATTATGCTGAAATTTGATAAAACGCAGGTAAAAGCTTGACTTCTTGCCTTGCTTTCAAATTACTCAACTACTTCTGTTTCAAGCTTGTCAGTATTACAGGCATTTTTTTTTTGTACTTGGAAACTTGAAGTAAATAAAGTTGTCATATACTTTCCTCCTCTAAGTGATGTCATGTACGTAGCTACTTATAAAGGTACTAAAGAACTGGAGTCGTGATTTCCTCTGGAGGGGAAAAACCCTAAAAATGGAAAACTGAAATTGTGGAAAAGATGCTCTGTAATAAAACTAAAGCATCCTCAGAAAAAAACCACTGGATAATCTGAATTATATGCTCGGTGTACTTTTATTTTAACTGACTTCTGACTTCAAACTGACTACTTGAAATAAGGAAAAATTGATTCGAATAACTAGAATGCAGGTTCTTAATTCTGCTGTAATACTTCCTTTATACTGAATGATGAGCGCATGTATCTGCACGTAAGTGTTGATTTGATTATAGACCTCAGTAATCTTTGCCTATACCCATTTTAATTTAGGATGAAATGTTAACTGGTAGCGGGCTGCTGAAAATTATTTTCATACACCATACTGAAAATGTATTGTTCTTCAAGTAGTTTTAGTTATGTTCAGACTAACAGGTCTTCAAACATGTCCTGTCTTTTAGAGTCAGCATGTCTTTTCTGAATGTATTGTCTAATAAAACTTGTTATATTTGCAGAGCATGGTGAATATGATCCTCAAACTGTAAGACCAGGAAGCAGATACAGTCATGTACAGGAAGTACAGGAGCGACTTAACTTCTTACGGTTAGTTTTAACTTGATCATTTGTTTAACTTCTGTAAGAATTCTTTAAATAATTTAAAGAAAAAACCCCAAACCTCGGTATCTCTTACCTAGTTTTAAGTTGCTTTGTTAACTACTTTCAAAACTATGCAAAAATACACGGAATGTTTTTGGTTTTGTTTGGGTTTGGATTTGTATGGGCTTTTTCTGTCTGTGTACAGAATCCTGCTGACTTGAATACAGCGTGTATGTGGATACAGTTCCGTATATACTAGGGTAACTTAGCTGAAAAATTAAAATATTTCATGTAGGGATATGCCCATGTGTCTTTATTTGTTGTACCATGTGAGAGTTAAATCCATGATCATAAACTGACATATACTTGTCTCAGACACTGATGTTAGGTTGTCAGCAACTGAGCCTTAGAAAGAGGTTGGAATAAAAAAAATTATTTGGCTGACTTCTGGTGAGCTGCTGTTTGAGTAAAATAAGAAAACAAAGGATCTCTGCTTATCACAAAGCTGCAGTTTGATGCTTTCTAGGCTGTGTTTCTCAGCTTTTTCTTACTTGGTTTTAACGTTTTTTAGACAAGTAAAAATACATGAACTGTCAAGTTCCAAAGTATTTATTTACTTGTTTTCTAACTGACTTTTTTCTTTCTAAAATTCTACCAAGAATTTTTATGAATTATACTGAAGTGTTAAATGACTGTTTAATGAAATTATACAATAGCCCATGGATAGCAGACTCAATTTATCACTCCTGCATGTTAAAAATTGTAACTTCCTTTAAGTTCACTGGTTGTTAAAGGAATTAATGAATTCTCATGGCTGTCAAATGTAGAATATGTAGGTAGCAATTTCTGAAAAGCAATGCCATAACTTAGTCCCTGATTTCTTTTACAAAGAAAAGATTTTTGAATCAGAAAAAATGATTCTGTAGAACTTTGATTATTGTTTGATCCTCCTGAAACATTCTTAGTGTTAACTCTCAGAACTGACCATCTTAATAGTTCTTTAATAATAATTTAACAAAAATGAAAAGCTTACTCAAATAAAAGGAAAAATTTCCAGTTCATTGACTACTTCTTCTGGCTCTGTTCCATAGAATTGATACCTTATTTTGTGATTTTGCTGAAGTAAGTCCTAAAACATAGTGAATGATTGCAGAAGTAGTTTAATGTCTTACATTGTGACCTGACTTTTAAACTAAATAGTTTATATTAGGCGATGTGCATTTGTTTGTATATAAGATGTAAACAGTGCTTGGTGTTTTTGTGTAAAACATTTTTTTTGCCAAATTTTACTCCTTTTTGGTTGGACTATAAGGTCTTGATCCATTCAAACTTACTGAGAAATCATGGGGCTAATTATGAGTGGACTGATGATGTAAATAAAGTTTTCAGGGTCATACTTATGATATATATATGTATAATATACATATTCACCTTTTTGCCTGTACTTTTTACTGAATTGTAACTCGAGATGTCTATTAGACAGTGCTGTTAATTGTCTCTTTGTTTTGCTCAAGATTTTTATTGAAGGATGGTCAGCTGTGGCTCTGTGCCCCTCAGGCGAAGCAAATATGGAAGTGTTTAGCTGAAAATGCAGTTTATCTTTGTGATCGCGAAGCCTGTTTTAAATGGTATTCCAAACTAATGGGGGATGAACCAGACTTAGACCCTGACATTAATAAGGACTTCTTTGAAAATAATGTGCTTCAGCTGGATCCTTCCCTATTAACAGAAAATGGAATGAAATGTTTTGAACGTTTCTTCAAAGCTGTGAACTGTCGAGAAGGAAAGCTAGTAGCAAAGAGACGAGCCTATATGATGGATGATCTGGAATTAATAGGATTAGACTACCTTTGGAGGGTAAGTTAATTGGAGGAAGCATCTGAAAGGTTAACTGCTAAGTCTTTCTCAGTCTCTTTTTATATTTTTAGGAATGTGTAATCTATTAATTAGAGACTGAAATTACAAAAATCTACTTTTTCAAACTAAATGCATGGATGTTGACTCCACTGTCTTCCCAGCAAGTATGCAAGTTGGTAACTTTGCAGACTGGTGTTTAATGCAAAGTTACTTGAAACATCAAGTGTATTTGTGTATGCACATGAGATTAAAAATTTGCCTGTACTGTTGAAGAAGAAAGGATCGTTCCAGGTGAATTATCTGTAGGTTTATCTCTCTCTCACGCACATTAGAACTATACTTTGTTTCGTGCACTTCATAAGCTAGTTCATGTCATTCGTTCTAGTATGGTAAACTGGAGTCATTCTAGATTAGACCAGGTGATCACTGGTCTGATTCTTTCTCATATCCACCACCTTTTGCCTAAACATGGTTATAGCTTTTCAATAGAAAGATTGTAGCTTTCTGAGGCTTGCCCAATCTATTGGTGAAAAACATCAGTATCTAATTTGATACTTAATTTTTTCAGAGTATTTCTATTTTACAAGAGCTGCATTAGAATCCACAGTAGCACACCGTGGAATGATTATCATGGCTGTGTTTTGTAAAACGTATCGTATGTAAAGCAGCAGTCTTCAGTAATTTTGGTTGTGACTTGTTGAAGGGTTAGGTATTTTAATCATGGTGATAATAGTTGAAACCAAAGTAGATCACAGTTTTTATACAATTAAGTTTTCATGCAGTGTTTGTGTACAAAGTGCTCACATAATGCTAGCATGCTTTAGTTGTGGGAATTGATTTACTTGGATCTTTTGGCAGCTGTTTGGCAGCATGGCAGAACTCATAAAGCTTCGGCTCAGTATCCTGCAGGGGTTGTCTGTAAGGGCTGCTTTCAGACCTGGTGGCTAGTAATTAAAATACAGATTGTCAGGTTAGAAACAGAACTCATTTGCCCATCCCCCTTCCACCCACTCACAGCCATTTAAATACTTTAAAAATCTGTGTTTAAATCTTTGGTGATGTAGATTATTCAGGCATCTGAAAAATAGTTGTCTTATTCTCTGGAACTAGTGAAAATGGAAATGCAACGTGAAGATGAATATATAAACACAACTTTTGTTCTGTTTATAAAGCATCAGCCTTTTTGCTAACTCTGAACTCCTTTAAACTAGTTAATTCTTAATTTTGACTCTTAACTTCAGTGTAAGTTGTATTGATTGTATTTTGTAACTAAGCACTTCGGTCACATTCACGTCATAGAATAATTAGACATGCTATTGTGTCAAGATACTTATGCAGTCGTTTTGTTTTTAAATTTTATACCAGAAAATTTTAAGATGTCTAACGCTTTTTTTTTTTTTATTTTATTATGCTAGGTTGTGATTCAGGGAAATGACGACATCGCAAACAGAGCAATAGATCTTCTTAAAGAGATCTATACTAATCTTGGCCCAAGGTTACAAGTTAATCAGGTAAAAAAAGCCAAGCAACAAGAAAACTGGAATATAATATGATAGAAAAACAGTGATAAAATTCAATTTGGTGATATTTCTATACTTGAAAGCTTTGAAAACAGAGAATAGTTTTCATGTTTTGTGGAGTATACTCCTGAGTCCAGCCATCAGGTTCTGGTCAGATGCAGAATTAAGAGTTTTTTCTGATACTTACAGACTGAACTCTGATAATTTTTTTTAATATTAAATTGATCTATTGTATTTGCTATTTCTATTCAGAAAACAGTTCATATCATATACTTAGGTAAGCCTTTTGTTGAACTTCCAGTTTTGGTACTTATTTGTACTAGTATGTTCACTGGATGGGTCTGCTGAGTGTTGTCACAACCTAATCTAATCTTTTTTTATGTCATGTCCCTTACAAAGGGTCACAGAGTTTCCATATAATGGTCAAGCTGTGCTCTAGCAAATCAGATATTTTCTCCCTACGTTACTCTTTGCTGGGAGCTGAGTCTCAGTGTATAGAGAGAAGAGATAATGAGTTTTTGAAAGGTCAGAGGAAGTGAACTGCTGGGATTTCACTAATTTGGGGGGGTATATTATCTTCCAGACAATGTCCAGTTGGTAGCTTGCCAATTGTATTTCTTAAAACTCCAGTTTTCATACTTGTCCTCAAAAACACTTTTATAGCCTTCAGAGCTGCCAGTCTGCTAGATACAGTACAGCTGCTCTAGGTGGTACATTTACAGCCATTCAAGCTATATCTTACTGTAGGGGCAGATGGGCTTTATGCTTCTTCTTTGCTATGGGTCTGGGCTTACTAAGTGTGCATAGATCTGTCCATCTGCACATGGTTAGATCTGACACTTCCATGAAGTGTTGGATTTACTTAACATGCACACAAGTATTTTGTTTCAGTGTGCTGGTAACTGCTCTGCTCCTGAGCTGCCTCTAAGAAAAGTGGCTACTGGGCTGTGGGTTACTGCCATAGCTATGACTGTTAATGTTTCTATTGCATTACTACCTGGAGACATTGCAGACTTTTATGTCAGTCTGGGTCAGGAGCAAGGAGATGTTAGATGTCAGGCAGAAGGAAGAGATTTGCTGCAGCTGCCACTATACTGAATCTAGCTCAAAATCCATTTCTGAGTTTATGCAGGAAAAGAGTGTATCTGGAACTGGGTTATGTGATTGGGGGTGGGCGGGGATAGTTATTCTGGTGGTCTGTAAATGTTCTGTGTCCACTCTTAGTGTAAAGTAAGTTAACCTATGCTAGATTATCAGCTAGAGATTCTTTAACAGAGCCTGACGAAATGAGTAAGAGAAAATCCAATGTAGTATTCTCTGTGCAAACTTTAATTTTTTCTATTTAAGTGCAAGTTTGCACTGTACAGGTACAGCTACTGATGACATGCAAGACTTTTGAAGTGCACACTAAATTAGAGCTATTTATCAATGGGAGTTTATTCTAAAGTGGAATAAAACAGCTTTATGGAGTAACTTGCCTGCTTTTGTTTTGTTTTGTTTTTTACTTCTACCATTGGATTATCCTGCT